TGAGAGTGAGAGTGAGAGTGAGAGTGAGAGTGAGAGTGAGAGTGAGAAGAGAGCACGCACGCGGGCGTGTGCTTGTGAGAGAACGCGGGCGTGTGTATGAGTGTGAGAGCGCGCGTGTGTATGAGTGTGAGAGTGCGCGTGTGTATGAGTGTGAGAGTGCAAGAGCGCGAGATAAAGAGTATAGTGTGGTGGGGTCACCTGTAGTGCGACATGAACCCAAGATCACAGTTGAGGATGTCCTCATCGGTACCAAACTCGGCTATCAGCCTCTGCTCAGCAACTCTACATCGTTGTGCATCCTGAAGTCCGCTTGGAGGACGTTTACCTTAAGATCTGAGGCCGAATGCCCTTGACTACTGAACTGTTCCCCCAATGGGAGGGAATATCCCTGTCCAGTGATTGTTTTGCAGTGTCCATTCATTTGTTGTCGTGGCGTCTATGTTGTTTCGCCAATATACCATGCCCTGGGTACACATACACAAATATGCACACGCATGCACGCACACTCACACGCACTATAAATCTATGGGGTGAATTAGCATTTGCAGATACATTCTATTTTGTTCAAAAAGCACACAATTTGTAGACACAGTCAGTCAATGGGGCATTTTATAAATTCCTCTTTGGAAATAAAACTAGTCTGACTTCAGGTTAAAACACAGATGGATTCTAACCAAGGCCTCACACCTAAAATACATTCAAAAAGAGATACTGGAAAAGCTCAGCAGATCTGGCAGCATCTGTGAAGAAAACATCTGAGTTAATGTTTCAGGTCCGGTGATCCTTCCTCAGAACTGATGATAACTAGGAAAATGTCGGTTTATATGCAGAAAATAGGGAGGAGGAGGAGGAGGAGGAGGGGGTGGGAAGTAAACGATAGGTGGGGATAGAGGCCAAACAGAGAGAAGAGCAGTTGGATAGACAAAGGAGTTGATAACGATTTGACTAGGAGGGTGAATAGCTGTTAATGGGGACTGTTAATGATCAACATTAGGTAGAGTGTAGTGGAAGACTATGTGATAACAAGGCCTGATGTGTGGGGTAGGGGGCTAGGACATGGGAGAGTTTAGGCCCTAAAATTATTGAACTCTATATAGAGTCCGGAGGGCTGCAGGGTCCCCAAGTGAAAAATCAGGCATTGTTCTTCCAGCTTGCACCGAGCTTCACTGGAACACTGCAGCAAGCCTGAGACAGAGATGTTGGCCAGGGAACAGGGTGGTGTGTTAAAGTGGCAGGCATCTGGAAGCTCAGGGTCTTTTGTGCGAGCAGAACATAGATGTTCTGCGAAGCGGTCACCCAGTCTATGCTTCATTTTCCCAATGTAGAGGAGACCACACTGTGAGCAGCGAATGAGAGACTAGATTCATAGTGTTGCTTCACCTGGAAGGTATGTTTGGGCCCTTGGATACTGGGGAGGGAGGAGGTAAATGGCAGGTGTTACACCTTTGCTGGTTGCAGGGGAAGATGCGGTAGGGGTATTAGGAGTGAAGGAAGAGTGGACTAGAGTGTCCCGGCAGGAATGATGCCTCTGGAAGGTGGACAAGGGAGGGGAGGGGAATGTGTCTGGTGGTGGCATCTTTCTGGAGGTGGCAGAAATGGTGTCTGATGCTCTTCTGGATGTGGATGCTGTGGAATTGTAGGTAAGGACAAGGGGAATCCTATCACTGTTGTGGGAGGGAAGAAAAGGGGTGAAAGCGGAAGTGTGGGAGATGTGTCCGATCTGGTTGAGGGCCCTGCTGAAACGGCTCTGAGGAATCCTTGGTTGAGGAAGAAGGTGGACATTTTAAAGGCTCCCTTATCGAAGTTGGCCTCATCTGAACATATCTTTTCTTCACAGATGCTGCCAGACCTGCTAAGCTTTTCCAGCAACTTCTGCTTTTGTTCCTGATTTAGTCTCTGCAGATCTTTTGTTTTTTTCAAAACCTAAAATGCATTGTCTGATCTGAGAGGTCACCTCTTGCATACACTGATTAAACCTTTAGTTACCTCGGGGCAGTGACTTGAAAGAAATTCTGGGATTTGCATTTTACTCAATCAAATCCAGCATCTCCTTTGTAACTGATTAGAGATTTAACAGGAAGTCAGCCAGGCATTTTAGGTTTATTCAATACATTCACATCAGTTGTATGATCCTTTGATCTTTTACTTGTAAATTCTGTGTCTTGGTATTTCCTCTCTCACTACACCTGAGGAAGGAGCAACACTGTGACAGCTAGTGTTTTCAAATAAACCTGTTGGACTATAACCTGGTGTTATGTGATTTTTGACCACGTCAGTTGTACAGCATTAAATCTTCTCTCTAAACACAAACCAGTTTGAAAAAAGTCAAAATCTTAGTATGAACTACAGAGTATTATTTGAAGTTCAACGAGACATGGCATTACAGTACATACATATTAGGAATATTCACATATTAACTTTGTCGACGTCACACGGCGTAAGAAGAAATAATTCAAATTTATATTTTTATAATGTCAACTCAGATATAATACAGAAGGAAAACCAGCAAACCTATGCAAAAGAAAGCAATAAATGTGTTCAGCTAATTTAGAACTATTTATTGTACAAACGATGAGGGCAATCACTCTGAATAGTAACAAATTGAACATCAGTGTTATGCACTGCTGGGTGCTAGCCCAAGAGATGCAGAAGAATTTAAGAACAAATGTTTCTGATCACCTAAATAGGAGAGGTTTCAATAAAAGTCACACCTAAACAAAGAAGAGGAGAGACTCCTCCTAGAATACAGCGATTCAGAATGCCAGAATATAGATGTGCCTAAACAATAAGCTGCTGTTGATTGAGTTTTAAATTCAAGGCACAACTAATATTAATCAATACAACTTTTCCCTTTGCCTGTGTCAATAAAAAAATCTTGTCACAATCAATCCACTCAACTTGTGCACAATTTAGATCTTTAATAGTAACCCATTATTATTCTGCTTTGAATACTACTGAATGGTTTTTACCTTATACTGAATGTCCTCTGCAGCTTCTTGTTTAAGGTCACTGTTTATTTTTAACTGCTGCTTTAATTTTTGCTGGATGTAAACCAGTTCTTCAGCAAAAGCCTGGCTTCTTTCGTTCTCTTCCTGAAGAAAGACAACAGGCAAAAAACATTGTCAAAGGAAAGTACATTCATCTCCCATTTGGAGTTCTGGTTAAAACAGTTATTTCAGGATAATGAACTGTCATAACCAATTTACAATATGTTTACACAATTCTATTATTCCAAAGTGGAACAGATTTTCTCTCATCAGGGAAAGGGACCGAAATACTCTTAACACAGAATGTCTCTCTAAAAACTACGTAGCTGAGTAGTTACTTTAACTGTTCATGACAAACATCCTATGATACTGCTTGATTACTGAGATAGATATTTCTGTTTTTAGATTAGAAAAATAACTAAATTCAGCCAGGTGCCACCCCACAGCCATCCAATCACAGAAGTCAGGATCTCATTCAACCAGTTAACGTTAAATCTAAGCTGACTGCATCAAACATTCACGTTTAATGGATACAATCACATAAGGCATAGGAAATGTAGAAAGAGCACTCTTTGTCACATCCCTGCCCATGTCTGTGAACCCATAAATAAAGTCCTGCTGCTTCAAAGTCAAGTCTTTGATACATGTCATCCAATCCCAAGCTGACACATATCATGACCATAATGGAATAAACGTTTACAGCAGGAACACCAGTGGTAATCATATCTCATTTGGCAATTTACATCAACCATGTAGATACATCTCTTTAGATTTCAACACCAAAATCAAACATGTGGAAGCCATACAGATTATCTGAACCAAACTTCTAGACATGAATAGGGAGAATAAAAAAAAAATCTACTCCACGGTTCTCTTAATCATCCAATGTAAATTTTGGTTGGAGATCAGGGAAATCCTCAAAGTTTACCCCTTGAGATTTTTGCATATTTTTACATAAAGTTATACCAATTAATAATGTCATCCAATCCTTTGAAATTCTACAACAGTACCAACAGTGTTATGAACAGTATTTACTGGGATGTAAACTTCTGGACATTTTTCAGAATAGAAGACTTAGGGATAAATGCATCAACCAATCTTATTGTCCCTGATCTGTATGTAGCTACAGTTGGCTTCAGCATGATAGCACAGAGGGAAGTGAGGGGATGTGGGGCAGAGGAGGGATTTTTAGCTGACCAGACCTTTAATGTTCGACTGTTACACAACCATCTTTGCTATAAAATATCAACAGTTATTAACTTAGGACAGAAATTGGTCTTGCAATATTTGGCCAATACTTAACAGCATTTTATTTTGAGACTTAGTAACCTGATTCACGGTAGTTATTTGGAACAGGCATGAGAAAAACAGATAGGCATCCATTGAATCTCAGCAAGTAAAAGCACATATCTTCAGAAATGGAAAGAAACCAGGAGGAATTTAGGAAATAAAGTGAGAAACTAATGGTTCCCTTCTTCCAAAACTCCACTTACCCAAGTTCAAGTTTGTTAAGAGTGGTCAATGTATGGAAAAGGGAGGCAAAACTTTTGATAATTTGCTGCAATTTCAATCAAAATTAAAATTTCAGTTAGCATAACTATTTCAAAGAGCTGAACACAAGAAAAAATTACAGTGCTAACTACTGACTGAAATGCTTACTTTTGAAAGTATTGTAATTTAAGAATCACCCACACTAGGCTACACAATGTGTTACAGTACCCTCTTCAGTCAGTATTTTGCAAATGATTGGAGAGCTGTTCTTAAATATTAACCCTATGAAATAACAGGGAAAGGCGGTATAAAAGTTGATACAAGATTATTCTGTATTCTGTGAAAAATCCGAATGGTTACCCAAAAACTATCTAATGTCAGAGCTAAGCTTTTCAGTCTGACAGAGGAGAGCTTTGACATTGAATTAAGCTTGCCCATCCAATAATCTCTGCTGCAATCCTCCTCCATAGAAGTCACTCCTAAGACATCTGTGAACGAAATCGGGAACTCATGTTCAATGTGCAATTTTAAGCGGAGATCACCAGAAACAGGGCTTGAGATTGTCTAAATTAGTTTCACGGAATTTCCATTCAGACAGCAGAGTGGACGATTCGGAGAAAAAAAAAAATGAAAATACAGCATCTTAAATCACTGCAATATCAATTCCAATTCCCTAAAGGTATTGTGGTTATGAAATTTTCATTTGTTAGCAGCATTTCAGTTGAACATCAAGTAGAATCTGGAATTGCTTCTTAATAAGGAGACCTCACCTTCAACTCCACATGGTCCCAGTTGCTAGCATTCATAGAATTGCTGTTTAGTTAATAACCTAAAAATAACATTTCTTACATTTAAAAAAGGATAGTGATTGCAAGGTGGAAGCTCAGTGACAGAAGTGTCAGACTTAGGCGCCAAGCATCAACTGGACAGCTAGGAATCAGACAAGGTTCGGGAGGAGCAATAGGACATCCTTGTTTTTGATGACTTTAAAGAAATACAGGTGGATTGCAGACATGGTAGATGGGGGATCATAGTACTGCCCAACGGACAAAAAGTCTTCAGTGTACAAAACCGATGATAGGCCACAAAAGATTTAAGTGAAAATGCAGGCCGTAAGAAAGATGAGCATTATGAGGATTCCACTTCTTAAGCCTGCCCCTCCATTCTATAGTATCTTGGCTGATCTGCCCCATGTGTGAACTCCTCTTCTATGTCAGCCCCTCACAGCTCTCTGCTCCAAGTTTTTAAAAATCTATCTACCTCCTCTTAATTAATTTCAGTGATCTAACCTCCATCATCCTGTGGGGTAAATAATTTCTTTCACATCTCAGTTTTAAATGAGTTTCTCTTCATTCTATAACTTTCACCCTTAGTTCAAAATACCCCAACTAGTGGAAAAATCTTCTCAATATCTATCCTGTCAGGGGCCCTCAGAATCTTGTACACTTCAATAAAGATCAGTCTTCATTCTTCTAAATTCTAATGAATAACGGCCTAAACTGTTTCAGAGTTTTTTTTATCAGGATAACCCCTTCACCCCAGAAATCAGCCTGAATCTCTTTTGAACTGCCTCCAATGCCAGTTTATTCTTTCTTAAATAGGCGGCCCAAACTGTACACAGTACTCTACTAACACTTCATAAAGCTGAAATAAGACCAATTTGAGACTCCAAACCACTTGCACTAAAGGCCAAAATTCCATTTGCCGTAATTACTTGCTATGTGTGCATGTTAACTATTAGTATTCCCTGCACAAAAACACCCAGATCCCTCTGTGCTGCATTTTGGAGTGTCTCTCCCATTAAATCATAGTCTGCTTTTTGATTCTTTCCAAAGCGCATGACTTCACACCTTTCAACATTAAACTTCATTTGCCAAGTTTTGCCCGTTCTTTGAGCCGATCTACTTTCTTGATGGACCGAATTGTTTTTCTGGACTGGAATCATTTTCTTCTGCACGCAATCAAATATCTGTTTCAATATCTGCCACCGCTTATTCACTGACTTTTCCCTTGGTCAACTTTTCCAGTCTACCTTAGACAACTCTTTCTTGAAAACTATTATTTAAGCCAAGGACACCGGTTTCCAACCTGAGATGCTTTCCCTCAAACTGACTTTGAAATTCCAGTTGTGATCACTACCATTATGAGGATCCTTTTCTATTATTGATTTATTAATTGTTGTTAATTTGATTGTTACTAGATAGTCACAATGTTGCAATGTTCAATGAAGACTGTTTTCTGAAGTCATCATAGGCAAAAGATTACAAAGGACTTTGAATAAGATTAGGATGTAACAATTATATTGGCCATTTGCCCCGCAGGGAGCAAAGCAGGCCCCTAACTAGCCAGTCTTGGCACCCGTGCTTCAATAGTGCCTTTGGAATCAAGTAACCTGAGTCCTGCCAATTCACATTTCCAGACACTTCAAATATGGCAATATGGACAAAGGTGAGAGGCTAGGATTTCAAATGTTAGGAAATGGCTTGACTCTCATTTGCAGTGCTTAATGTGAAAACCCAGATCTTTCTCTTCACTTAGACATGTATTTTTATTCCTTATTTGTTAGGATGACAAAAATTCTGGAAAACCTTAGATCAAAGAGATGTTGAAACATTTTCGCTATTATCACTACAGCAGCTAATAATGGATCAAAACAACAGCAACTAAGAATGGATAATAAATGCCAATATTGTCACATTGAGAATGAGAAAGTATATTTTAATCATATTCTTGTTTTGACAAAGGAAACATTTTCTGTCTTAGTGCGAGCTATAGATAATTTGCTAGCAACATAATAAAAACAGAGCATCTGTGTAGACATACTTCAATCTATTATAGATAGCATACAACGTTTTTAGATTGCTTCATAAGTTGGAACCTTAACCAATTAAATATCCCAAGTGAAAAAAAGGTGCCCTGATAAAACATATTCTGAATTACCAGAGATTCTGTTTAATATTTAACAATTAGACAGTGACCACACATCCTGATCAAAGAAAGCACCATGAATATAATACATAATCTAGAAAATAAGGTAAGCAAGATGTCCTTCTCACTGACTTCCAATGATACTCTTTACAGCGTCATTTATGATTAAGTAATCTTTTCATTTCATTCAACTTGGACGCAGCAAGGTATTACTCCAGTGACTGTTATACTTACGGCCAACATCTGCTTGCACTTTTTGTACTTCTCATTTTTTTCCATTATTTCTTTGTTCATTTTACTTATTTGCGTCTGCACCAAGAGATCAAATGTATGGTCGAATGGAGTTGGCACGGCTAGAGAGAAAGCAGCAAGATATTGACTATACCAGTGATAGTTAGATGATCAAGTTTTAACTTTTTATTTTCCCAGACAAGCAATTTAATCTTTTAAGAGCTGTTTTGTTGATTTGATGACAGTCAATGCTGGAACAATTGGACATGTTCAAATTTGGGCTCTAAGCCGGTAATTAAAATATGCAGTTAATTCAGCAGCAGGAAAAAAAATTCAGAAGAAAATACAAAACTGTTTTTTTTCCTGAGAATGTGCATTTTGTGGCAAGTATTTTAGCTATACCTAGATCAATTTATGGAGTTGCACTCCTTCACCAATTTCCTGAAGCCCTGTAATTATCATCCGTTCTGGTGCTTATCACTTCCTTTTAGAAGCCATATATAACTTCAAAAAGGTTTATAGCTTATAAAGGTAACACCAAATGAGACATTAACATGTAGGAACAATTTCACTTGTCAGCTGAAATTACATGACTGTTCTGTGCCTACCACATTAATTCCACCATTGTCAGCAACACACTATCATGACAAACAGGACCTGGAATAAAACCAAGTATCAGCTGGGAAATAAGGAGTATTTGAACTGTTCCAACACAAAAACAGTTTGTAAATCTCTGTTGCTAATGGTGGAGTTGTTTTGCTGATAATTCTCTTTGGGTATAAAGACACTTCAAAAAATGTGTTCCACAGAAGTAAATTAAATAAAAAATTGAGAACAGCAATCTCTACTCAAGAATAAATGAAGATGCACATGCAGTACGAGCAGGTGGAGAAATCCTTGCTTAACTATCATTGAGTAGTTACTTGGTTTGCCTGTGTACTTATTCACTGCAAAGTGGTATATATTTCAATTGAGATTGGAAGCTGATGAAAAGCTTACAAGAAATGCACAAAATATAAGACTGAAGAATACTTCAGGAAATTGTACAGTGCTGGCTTATCTATAAAGCTGGAGCTGAACAAGTGCCCTGGTACCTGAAGAGGAATCTTGAAAAAAGTCAGCTGCTGCCACTGGAGGCGATTCAGTGTTTGTCCCATTATCAGCTAGTTTCTGCTTCTTCAAGACTGTTTCATTTTTCTTCTCTTCCTATTAATGTGATGATGTATCATTAGATTTCTCTATAACTTTCCTTGAACAAAGTAATAATATTCAGATGTCTTACAAAAGCAAAAATAAAATGCACAGAGGCTAAGTAACCGTGTGATGTGACAACACTTTCCCAATTTCAAAAACCTGCAAAGTGTCCTGTTTCATCCTTGAGAGTCATGTACAAAAATAGAAGACAGGCAGATTTCAATAGAATCCCATACTTTAGCAAAATATGAAAACTGATTATTATCGCCATAATGTTTTCAATCTCCCCAATAATCTCAGGCCTTCAATGTCTGCAAAAATCTCATTTTCTCCTCATGCTGCTGTGGTTTTACTGTCTGTTTCATTCTGCTGGACAACTTCAAATAATAACATATGCACAGCCACATACTGTTAAATCTCTCTTCACACCTTCCTCAATAACTTCTTGCTCCATGGAAAACATGAAGCTTTCCTTGAGCTCTCAAAGGCTGTCCATCTTTTCCTATCATGTGAAATTTTCACAGGAATCAGGAGAATGTTCTATTCTGAACAACACAACTTAAATTGAGGAAATAGCCTTCCCTTTCCCCCCGCCAAGGTAAACTTTTCTGTTCTTGGACTCTTGGCTGGGGTGGTTTAATGAGTATTGGGCAGCCTGCACTACCTCATCCAAATGCCCATTATTCATGACTGAGCATTTACTTACAACCAGGCCCAATCCTCACCACAATCAAACAAAAGACACCTTCACCAAGGAAGCACAGAGTCATGATGACTGAATTTTTCCTCTGCATGTCAGGAGTGCAGAGAATATCACAACTTTCATTTATACAATGCTTTTCACGGCCTTGGAGTGTTCCAAAGGGCTTTTCAACTAATGAAGTACTTGTGAAGTACTGCTAATTCTGTAATATAGTAAACAAGGCAGAAATCAATTTGCACACAACAAAGCCCCATAACAGCAAGGTGATAGCAATCAGACAGTTTATCAAATTGGTTGAGGGGTAGATAGCCGCCGAGGAACCAGGAAGAACTCTCCTGCTTTACATCAAAGTAGTGCATTAATACTTTTCACATCCAGCTAAAAGTGGTTTAATACTGCATTGAAAGGTTGGCACCTTTGACAGAGGAATATCAGCTTGGATTTGTGCGCTCAGATCTTTCTTGTGGAGCTTGAACCAACAATAGTCTGATTAGTGATACTACTGAGCCACGACAGAGGCAACTGTCACATTCCCACTGCAGCTGCTGCACAAATTAGGTACTAAATGTACCTGACAGAATATCCAGCAGTTTTGATGTTTCATGTTTAACATGAACCTGAATAAAGTGCTAAGCAGTGAATTTTGATGCGCAATGAGTGGGGTAGATGATTGAACATTAGACAGAATGGGCACAGAGGGAATCGCGGATGGGAGGCAAATGTGGAACTATCTAATCACCACTTCCCTGCTGGTCACATAATAGGTGTTAGCAACAAAATTTACAACTGGTTGTCCATAAATAATGAGTAAATATCTTAAATGTCTAAATTTAAACCTATGGTCATTTAATTGTCATTTTTAAAATTTTGTGAACAAGCTTTGTTATTGTTATATGGACTGCATAGAGGGCAACAGAGCAAAGAATGAATACATGTAACATAACAGGATAAAATGATAAACATTAGGACCTATATCTTCTGATATGACTGGGAATCCCTATTTCTGACCTACATCAGACAAAATGTTGCACATTTCCTTTCCTGCTCAGTTTCAGGTCCATCTTGTGATGGAGGATCCTGCAGAAGTCTTCAACTGCAGGAATTCTTATAGAGAAGGCCCAATGATTCTTCCATATCGTCCATATTCCTGGTAGTAAACAAAATTTTAAAGTCTAAAGCCTCTTTGAAAGGTTATGGAGAGAAGGCAAGTCTGTGAGGGTGGGGTGAGTGGGTGAGATTGGGTTAGGTGCCATTTGGGTGAGAGGATTGAATGCTAGATGAATAAGGGGATAGGTGTTAGTTAGTGGGAGAGGGGGATATCAGGGGTGATGAGAGTAATTGGCAGAACTAGTTTTAATCCTTTTAAATTTTTCAGCGTAAGTGTCCATTAACTAAAATGAGAACCCTCTGAAATCTAACTCAGACTTTTAGACTGTTTTGGAGGGTTCCACATACTGGGTTAGTACCCTTCAGAAGTACAAACTTCCCAGGTAGCTAGTGAGCTAGAATGTCTAAGGGGCCCTGACAAGCACCTTTTACGGCATGTCAATTCTCTGACAGTCCAGAAACCAGAAGATCCCAGTCACTGATTTGAATCTGTGTGCCACTATGCAACTGGTACTTCATAAGCAAGGCTCATTTTTTCCAGCAGACAGCGACAACAGTGCATATAATTGATAAATATTCAAAGAAAAATTACACATGAAGCATTTTCACGTTTAAAGGTTTGAAAACATTAGTTTCTTTGAAAGTCTGGAAGATAGGTGGACTGCTTATAAAGAGATTACTAATATTACTTTGGACAATTTTTTTTGAAGACTTTGGTGGGAGTAGACATTTAACCTGTTGCGCAAGTTTATTGAAAGTTACGTGGCCTTAGCTAACTGAAAATTGCTTACTGAAAATCACTTGCCTGGATTCATGGCATCGAGGTGCTGGTGTTGGGCTGGAGTGGACAAGGTCAGAAATCACATGACACCAGGTTATAGTCTAACACAAGCTTTCAGAGATGGAGTAAGGCTCCGAAAGCTTGTGTCTTCAAATAAACCTGTTGGACCATAACCTGGTGTTGTCTGATTTCTGACCTGGATTCATAGCAGCCAAGAGTTCCAGTTTGTTTGGACATTGAATGGAATTCATTTGGGGGTACAACCCGAGAGAGAAGCTACTCAATAAAACCAGTTTAAAATTCTCAGACTGCAAATTATGGTTGACCACAATTCTGCTGATGGGCAAAAGAGAGGGCGAAAGCAGTATTTCATTGTTCTCTTCACAAGCCTCTGGCAGAGTTGTTTTGACAATTCCTGAGTAAAACGGCATCCAAAACTCCCAGTGATAATTACCTCTGTTAAGTGGCACTTGTGTGCATGTGCCAGGGCACTAACCAGAAGCCATCTTACCTTATCCTTTCTTTCCTTAAAGAATAAACAATCATTGGCAAAATGTTTTATCAATGTCAATCCCCGCAGACAAAGTTTCATTTCTCCTGTGTATTTGTTAAATATTTACAAACGAAAGCACTCATTCTTTCATATTTCAGCTTTAGCTATTTGCAGAAAAAGTTTTTTCAATAAAATAAATCGATAACTTTGTTATTTATTAAAGAAACCTGGTTGATGGATCTTTTTATTCTGAACCTAATAGAGATTAAATACATAACTGGTCATATCAGTAACCGGCAAACCATTTAAATTTGTGCTGGGATCAGTAGTTAGATGGAACTACAGAAAGACTGCGTACTCCTCCAACATTGGTCATAACAGAATGATATTTCGTATTACTTTGATCTAACACTTCTACAACAAATCTGAAATGCCTGAACCTCCCAATATTTAATTAACACTTCAGATACAGTACTGAGAAACCAAAAAAATTAGGGAAAATGCTCATGATTGAAGTCTAATTTTTTTTGTTGTTTTATCATTCCAAGTTATTGCATTACCCAGTAGTCTAAAATAAATATTGTACTCACCAACTGCTCTGTCAATTTAACAACTTGCTTTTGCAGTTTTTGGCAGTCCTTGTATTTTTCTTTGTAATGTTCTGCAGCCATCTGCAACCTTAGCTTTAAATCTTCAACTTCTTTATGCAGCTCTTGTTCCACTGTATTGTCAGCCACTGAAGAACCCTAGCATCAATTTGCCAAATGATAAAGAAATTTACAGTTATGACGTTATCATACATTATTCTGCAGCTGAGGCGTGTCTGTACCTCTTTTGTCTTCAAGAACTTCATAATGGTGCCTCTTTGAATTAAGGAAAGTTTAAATTAAATTTGCAATTAATTTGCATACAACATTGCTCTAATTTGGTAGTTAGCTTCCGATTTCTATAGAAAGAATGCCAACATGAATTATATTAGGCTGTTTTTAGGTTCAAGTTATTTCAAGAAAATCATTGGCTGATGTAACAGTCACACACTGGAGGTACTAGATCAGGGGAAATTGGGACCTTTGTGAGATCACCAAATTTGAGACAACCGGGTATCTGCTATTCATTTTCAGAATCTGAACAGGCAATTATACTCTACACTGACTTTTTATGAAGTAAAACAACTTAATTTATATCTAGCTTTGTGTCTAACTTTGAATTACTCTTAATTCAGAAGATTGGAAATGAACACCTGGAACTATATGCAAGGATCACAATATTCAGTTCTCATTGGTATTCTTGGGAAGTTATAATAATATACACAACATCAACCTACTATTGGTCCTGAAAACCTGAAATAAAAACAAAAAATGTTGGAAATACTCAATGGATTAGAAAGCATCGGTGAAGAAAAGAGTGAATGTTTCAGCTCAATGACCTTTGTCTCTTATTGTTCACTGATTAGGCCAGCACTACTACCCAGCTTCCTATTATTGCCTGTATTGCCCATAACTGCCCTCGAGAGGATGCTGGTGAGATGCTTTCTTCAACCACAACAGTTATGGAGTCTGAGTATACTACAGTGTGGAAGTGAAGTCCAGAATTTTGATCCAGCAGCAGAGAAGGAATGATGTAGAATTCCAAGTCAGGATGGTGTGTGGCTTGGGAAGGAAATTGCAATTGCTGGTGCTCCTATGAATCTGCTGCCCTTGCTGTTCTAGGTGGTGGAGTTCACAGATTTGGGGTGCTGAAGGTGTTGTGGTGAGTTACAGTTGTACACAAATGGCACTCTACATTGATGACAGAATGAATGAATGTTGAAGGTGGTGAATGTGATGCCAATCAAGCAGACTAATTGTTTTTGATGGTTGTCTTGAATGTTGCTGGAGCTGCACTTGCCAAGTCAAGTGAACAGTATTACATAACACTTATTAACTATGCCTTGTAGATTAGGGACAAGATCTGGAGAGCCAGAAGGCAGCAATTAGTTAGGCAATTTTTCCTTAGTTGTGAAAAAAAATGAAAAATACTTTGGTTTTTAGCTAAGTAACAAGGAAGACAGTGGAAATATGAATAACAGGGAAGATCAGCTACAGGGTGAAAATGGGAGTGATTAAATGATAAAAGAGTTGGCACTACAGAACAAAAGGGAGCGGTAACGAGATAAGTAAAGAAACATACAATACATCTATTACCATCCAAAAGCAAAGACGAGAAACTCAAAGGCAAAATTGAACACGAAAAAAAAAGAGTGGGGAATTAATATAGAGATAACAAGGTGTAGAGCTGGATGAACACAACAGGCCAAGCAGCATCAGAGGAGCAGGAAGGCTGACGTTTCGGGCCTAGACCCTTCTTCAGGAATTAATATGACAGGAAACCAGAAGCTTAGGGGAATGCAAAGTGATCACCCAATCTGTTTGGTATCCTTATTGTACAGGAGACAACACATCGCTTGTAAATATTGTATATGAAAAGACACAAACCACTGCATCATGTGGAAGCATTTTGAATAACAAGAAGAGTGCAGGTAAAAAGGCTGTTATGACATCATTTACACTTGAATGGAAAAAGGTTATAGGAAGGAGAACGGGTGTTGAGGATGTTCGGTGGTTGACAATTGTAAAAGGAGGCTGACTTTGGAATTCTGAAAAGAGAAGAGGAAGATGTGCTTGGTGGTAGCATCTCACTGGAAGTGACAAAAATGCCAGCGGATTATCTGTTGAGTAGAGAGTCTGGTGAGATGGAAAGGGAATCTTATTATCATGAGAAGGAAGCAAATGGGTTAAAGCTGAAGTGTGGGAAATAGGATGGATGGTGTCCAGGACCCCGGCAATTACAGTAGGGGAACTGCAGCTTATTTCTGCAAAAAGGAATACATTGATCATGAGCATCATCCTGACAGAGAAAGTTGAAGAACAGAATGGAGTTCTCACAGAAAGTATGATGTGAGAAAGTGAAGCTAAGGCGATTGTGAAGTTAATGGATACAGCGAATACTCAGTGAATATTCCAGGAATAGAGACTGAAGTTGGTAAAGGGAAAGAAAGAGTTCAAGGAAAATGCAGGGAAGGTGACGGAATGACAAAAATTGGAAACAAGTTCAGAATAAGAACAACAATTAACAATGTACCAGAAATATAGATGAAAGACAGAACCCAAGTAAGAGTGGAACAAGAAATGTTTCATATGCCCTACATGAAGGTAGGACTCACGATCCAGGTCCAGACAGGCAGACAGGGGACTGGTTAAAGGGCAAGGTAGAACTGCTGACCAAAGAACTGGTCACAAAGGAGATGACGATAGGCGAGGAGCTCAGTATATTGCCAAGCTCAAAACTGATTGAAGTAGGAGCTTAAGGGGATAAAGTGCAGCCCTTTGCTAAGCACAAATCATTCACAGTCAGTCACAGAGGGGAAATAAAAGGACACTGTAAATACAAGGCAAGGGGTATGGTTAAATGAAGCAATGAGATTGAAGGGAATGACTCGATGCACATTGATATGCATGAAATTTTTCAAGTTGGTGATCAACCACAACTGAAGAAAACATTTTTATATTCATGAGACAAGGCGTGAAATGAAACTGATGAATAGAACAGATTTTAAGACAGATATTTAACTCAACGTTGAGGAACAAAAAAGTTTTGATTGTAGCAGATGTGGGATTGCCTATAGGAGGGATAGTCATGTTCTAAAAAACATTTACACCTGAAATAACGTGTGTGATGCAAATCAGCATATGCAACTGAGAATATATCCAACAATAAAATAGGCTATGAGAACCAACTTTTCCAAAACTAAAAGGCAATTTAAATCAAATTGACATAAAACCAACAAATAAATATAATAAAAACTTAATTGGCTAAAGCAGGTTGCTGGGATGAGTCAGCTGTTTATTGGCCAAATGCAAGATACTCATGTTTTATTTTAATTTATTCAGGATGTGGGCATCATAGGCAATAAAGGTTGGCCTAGCCAAAGTACACAAAGGGCAGTTAAGAGTCAACCACATCTCTACGCCTGGAGTCACATGTCGGCCAGACCAGATAAGAGTCATCATTAGACTTTTAATTCCAGATTTCTGTTGAATTCAAATTCCACCATCTACAATGAGCAAGTACTGAAACTTATTTTGTTAGAGATAAACAGAGGTGCCATTACACTATTGAGTGCATTTAAAAAGAAAAAAACCTGAAGCAAATTTGGACGAAACATGCAAAATCTTTGGAGTAGTGGTGATCAAGAGTTCAATTATTTTAATATTACAAAAGGTGCGAAACAGGAATAGACAAACCAGCTCAAATCAGTTCATTCCAGTCTCCATGTTCCACGTGAGACTGGTTGGAAGTTCTATGTTTTTAGATCACTTGTAGGTCAAAGAATTCCTTCTGAATTGGATTTCTTGGTATTATAAACTTAGATAATAATAATGTCAAGGGGAAAGAAGGGGATGAACTTATCAACTGGTTTCAAAAGAATCTGCTTGATCAACTTATTTCCAGACCCCAATGAGGGAAAAGGCATTGTTGGATCTGGTTTTCAGGAATGAAGTGGATCAGATATCCTTTGAGGAACTGATAGTGTGCTGTAACCACTGTGTCATTACATACAGGTTTGATGTGTTGAAAGGACAAGGAGCAATCTCAACTAACAGGAATTGAACGGAGGACAGCGAATTTCATTGTAACCTGAATGTATCTGTCCAAGATAAACTGGAATCAAAAGAATGGCAGAAAATATGTTCCAGAAATGGAAGGGGAGATTATTTAGGTATGGGTGAGCTACAAGTTCAATTCTACACACGCCACTGCCTAGGCAGAGATCTCCAGCCCCGGTGCTACTCCTGGCCTGGACATGCAGCCGCACCCACAAACAAGCATAGTGGCCCTGCTCCCAACCCAAGCATAGTGAACCCGCGAGAACACAAGCCTTGGTTATTGAGAGCTGATATCCTGGCACCCAGCATCCTCGGAGACATGCATTTAGATTTGTATTCTATCAGGGCAAAGACATTAAAGCTCCTCAATGCCTGACACAGGTGCATCGCTTTAAACCACAGGTGTAGCCTTTCCTGCTGAAAACCCGCTCTTTGGATCATGGAGCCTTCTACTTGTCCCAGAGTAAATTATCTGCCACAGAAAGACAAATAGCAAGCAGCTGTTCTGAGAGTGGCAAAATACTGGTGCAGCAGCAAAATCCAATTTAATTTGGTGCATAATGAGCTTAATTAATAAACAGGATAGCTGGAGAAGAGAAAATTTCCCCATGCAACAATGTTAATATCCAAAACAGAAGAAGTAAGCAACTGATATAACACGTACCTTTTCTTTTTTTGATAATGCAGTTTTTAGCATTTGCATCTCTGCCTTATATTTCTTTTCAGTTTCAGCAAGTTCATCTTTTAGCAAATCAATTTTTATTCGTGCATTATGTAGATCACCCATGGTCTTGTCACGTGTATTGGAAGCATCAGCGAGCTCCTGAGCTATCAATGCAATTTTCTGATCACTCGCTTGTACGTGCTCCTCAGCTCTACGCAAACGTTCACGAAGAACTGATACTTCATCCTGAAAATCACAACAGTTGACAATAAGAAAACATTTTATCGCTATTCTTTTGGTCATCAGAACAAACCAAAAGATTCAAAATTGTGACGGCAAGTCAAAAGAAAAGGATCAGCCAACACGCACATATACAATAATGCACTTTTCACGACGCCAAAGGAACTTGCAAGGTTCTTGAGAAGTTAGATGATCTGAGAAATACAGATGTAAAAACATATGAAGGCAAATCACAACTACTGTCCAGTACACCGAAAATGGTGTACAACACTGCAAATAAACAGGACTTTTTTCTGAGATGGCCAGTCTACCTACAAAAACAAACCTAGTTAACTGAAAATAAATGTTAGTAATAAGGTAGCCAGAAAGGTCAACCCTTTACTTTAACTTATAATATCTTTCTTGTTACATTTGAGTTATCACTTCTTATATGCACTTCGAACTTTTCACTTCTACCCCAGCCCCAATCACACCATCTGTGACTTTGCATTTGGACTATCCATTCCCATTTTAAAAGCCACTCTCACCCCAATAACTACACCAATTCCTCCCTGTTCCATTCAAAGTCTTCCTTGTTATACTGTCATTCATCATTGGCCCTCCAGCATACTCCACCAGACCAGGTGACAAGGCAAAAATTCCTTATTCGCAAGCCGTTTCCACCTTCCCTATCTATTTGCTCAAAGATTTCATTTGCTTTCAAAAATCAATTTCCTGGATTAATGAATAGAATGATGGAATAAATTTATTGTCTGTTTCTCATTTTGTGCACCACATTGCCAGTAGAAATTGAAACCTCAGATGCAAATGATTAGAGCTTATATTTGATTGCCAAAATTGCCAAGTCAACCTCAAAAATCCACTCACAGGTGCAACCAGAGGAAAATCACTCTCATAAATAAAATGGAAGAGAATGAAAGCAGCCCCTCCACTCAACATCTATTTCTCTCCTGTGCTTACAGTATGTGGAACACCCCTTGTTCCAGTCTAACTTGGGTCCCTCCCCAAAAGTCTTTCTCTGGTATATTGATGACATCAGTGTCACTTTGGAATTGGAAAAACTTGTCAAGTTTGCTGCCAATTTCCACCCTGCTCTCACCTTCATCTGGTCCATCTCTGATTCCTCCCTTCCCTTCCTCAACATCTGTTTCCACTTCTGGAGATAGGTTTGTAGTGGATATCAGTGGCCAGCCTATCGACACCCACAGTTCCCTGGACTATACATCTTCACACTCTGCTCCTGTAAAGACTCCACTCCATTCTCCCAGTTCCTCCGCCTCCCTTGCATCTGTTCTGATGATGCAAAATGTCACAGGGGGTCCTCAGAAATGTCAGATCTTTTGTCAATTGAGGCTTCCCTACCACTATGGTTGACAGGGCCCTCAGCCGTGTCTGGCCAATCTCCCATACTTCTGCCATTACTCCATCTCTTCTTCCCTAACACAACACCGATAGGGTGGAAAGTGAGGACGGGCAGACCTTATCAGCTTTCACATGCAAAAGATGATAAGCCACAATTTCCATCACCTCTAGCCGGATGCCACCACCAGACACATAATGCTATCACCTCCCTAATCAGCCTTCTGCAGGGACCGTTCCCTTTGAGGCACCTTGGTCCACTTCTCCTCAAATCGCACGACATTTCCCCAAGCAATTCGACATCCTTCCTCCAGGTGAAGCGGCAATTTATCCGCACTCCACTCAATCTAGTCTACTGAATTTGCTGCTCACAATGTGGTCTGTACATCACAGAGACAAAACGCAGACTGGGCAACTGCTATGCGGAACACCTACGTTCTGTCCACAAGAGCAACACCGCACTTTCAGTTACCTGGCATTTCGACACACAACCATGTTCACGGGCCAACATTCTGTTTTGGGCTTGCTGCAGTGCTCCAGCAAGGCTCAGCACAAGATGGAAGAACAATATCTCATTTCCTGCTTGAGGATCCTGCAGTCTTCAGAACTCAAGATCAAGTTCAATAATTTCAGAATTTGAATAGCTTCTTCCATGTCTTTTACTGATCCCCATACCCAGGCCCTGTCATGACATGGGCTGCTTTCAGCACAGCCAATCCATTTTCACTTATAGTACCCATTATCAGCTTTTCTTTCTCCTGAGCATATTGTCACCTATCCCTTTGTCCCCCTAACTGCTGTTCTCTCTCTAGGTTCCATTTCAACCTATCCTCTCACTCTTTCCACACCCCCACCAACCTCTTTCTTCAGCACAAGTACCATCTTTTCATAGCTACCATCAGTTCTGAAGCAGGCTCATTAGACTCAACATTAACTTTGCTTTCCCTCCACAGATGCTGCAAAACCTGTTGATATGCTCTAGCAATCTCGGTTTTTGTTTAAGTTTCCTTTCTGTTATTGACAAAAGGGACAAATAAGTGGAACAAATGGTGAGGATGCTCAGCATTGATTGCAGCCTCCTCTCTATTTTCCAGACTGAATGAGTGCTTTGCAAAACACTTCCAGTCTGCCCCTAATAATGACTCTGACCTTGCAATTGTTAGCCATTTCAAATACACCATCTTGATGTCGGGTTAACATTTGTGCTTTAAGTCTACTTCAAGGCTCCAGCGATGCTCACACAAGCTCGAAGACGGTACCCTGTTTTCCATTTTAGCACTTTACAGCCTTCAGGACTCAACATTATACTTAAAAATTTAAGAGCACGATCACCTCTTTGTTCGCTGAAGGGTCTAGGCCCGAAACGTCAGCCTTCCTGCTCCTCTGATGCTGCTTGGCCTGCTGTGTTCATCCAGCTCTACACCTTGTTATCTTAGCTCTAAATAAACCTACTTCTGATTACTCACACCAAGGAACTGCATCTATTTCGCACTGAAATTTTTCTCTTTCACTACCCATTAGCACTTCATTTGTCTTTTCCTGTGGGCATTCATCGCCTGCTCTAACTCTCCTCTCACTGTCAGCAGGGTTTGCAGACACAATGTGTTCATCTCTTGCTGGCTGAGCCACCTCAAGTAGTTTTGAGAGGAACTCATGATATTTTAAAAGACTGCCTTTTCAGTCAGCATTTCTTACCATGTTAGAAGCATTAACTAACAGTTCCTTTTGCAATTTTTCTTTTTCTGACAAACATTGCTGTAGCCTTCCCACTTCTTCCTTGAAATGTGCCAGCATGTTTTCTTTATTTGCATCGAGATTTTTAACAGACTGCATCTCCATAACCAGCTTTGTGTTTTCAATTTCTGTATTTTTTGCATGGACCTGCAAATAATTGAAATTACTCATACAAGTTAATTATTTTGTTTACTATCTAATAGAAATCAAATGCCTAGCAAATGAACATTTTTGTGAACCTAAATTAAACATGTAAAGGAACATCATGCACAAACACCAAAAGATTACTTCAAACCTAAATAGATTTGAAAAAGAATGGCCAAGATCTACATGGAATTTGAATGGATAACCTTCTGAAAAGCCACTGCAATACAAGGTCAGTATATTTATCTTACGAGCACAAAAGAAACAAACAACTAAATATTAATTATTACAATGGTTAATTATTTGGAAGTGGAAGAATAAAATGGCATTTCAAAATTAAATGAGATGATCTGACACTGGGCCACATGAAGAGTTTATAATTCAGATGACCATGCACATGTATTACGTTACATTGAGGACAGTCAATGGTGAGAGTGAACAGGTAACAGTTACTTTTTGTACAAATTCCTCTTTGGTAACTGCCAGAAGCCAAAATTTTAGCCAACCAAGTAAACTTTATTGCCTTCCGCGTGCTTTTCAGTAAGACATGAAGATCATTTGTGCCCATAAGCATGGTGAAGTCAAGAAATGGAAAAGATCCTGAATGTGTCCCTTTCCAGAACTCTTGCTTCATGTTCTCAGCTGTGCAACAGTTGCACATCGGGTTGATGTGCTCTGGGTTTATTAATAAGAAATTATCTTCGAAGCTAAATACTGGGATCCTAATACTAGTTTCTTGATTTTATACAGTGTAAACAAACCTTAGGCTTTTCTTACCTGTATGGCCATTATATTATAACATAAATTTAACCCAAGAAACCAAAAGTTATTACACCTTTTACCTTGTAAAGCTCTTTCTCATCCTTTTCATTCTTCAACTGCAATTCAAGTTGCTCTTTTTCAACAATGAGTCTCCTCAGTTTGTGCTTTATGCTGGGGAAGCAATGGCATACTTTTAACTAGGTCACAATATAAATCTCAAGAAAGTATAAGTGACATCAAAATGTAACAATGCCCGAAAAAGGTCCTATTAATAAAACCGTTTTAATGCCACAAACTAAAGTTTGTCCTCATGCAGTGCTGCAGTATGCATCTTCAACATTCTCACATAACACAAACTCAGGCTGTAACAAAATATAACGTTTCAATCCTGAAACAAAAAAACCAAACATTTGAAAACTGACACAGTCTTAAGAAATTGTTAACTTGTAATAGAATTTTTAAACAAATTGAAGTGAGAACTTCATTTCAAAATGCAAGAAAGGTCTGGCGTGTTTTGATGATAACCTGAAATCCATTATAACTGATCGTTTTAGCACTCATTTTTAAAAAATCTATGAAGGTATTTTCTGCAAAAGGAGCTGAAGTGGTAAAATGATAAGTTGTCTCCATTTTTGTACAAATAATTTCACAGCTCAAGAGTCTGCCAGGCCCACTGCAACATTATGGCCTACATGTCAGAGTTATTTGGCTATTTTTATAGAACAGTAACTAACTAAGATAATACATCACTTAACTACTGAGGTAAAAGTATGACTTTTACTTCGACCAAAATATATTTCACAAATAATAGTGTAATACAATTTAACTAACACTTTACCAAAGTTGTTTAAGATGAAAACAATTCTGAATGGAAGCTTAGGCAAGATATCTCTTTCCATTAAAGCATGTATCAGGAAACAAAATCATCTGTTTCTTATTTATCTCAAAATTCAATAAAAATCAGAATGTAAGCATCGAATTACTTAATAAAATTATACAAACAGGCAATGAGATTGGCTTGAATTACAATGTTTCAACTGGCTGTAGGATTTGTATTTTGGACAAATTGTCTTGATTAAGTGTCTTATCGGAGCTGATCATAAAAGCCCTTTCAAATTTTTCTGCAATTGACATTTCAATGGAAGAATGAACACATTTTAGATAATTATACGTAATCATGAATCTCTCACATTAAATGATTTCAACTCAATACAACTAACATTTGAACAGATTTGGTGTTTTTGCCTTTGTTTAAGAAGGGATGTAAGGAGAAGCCTGGGAATTATAGACCTGTGAGTCGGACTTTGGTGGTGGGTAAGTTGGTGGGAGTGATTCTGAAAGATGGGATTTATATGTATTTGGAGAGGCAAGGACATTAGGAACAGTAGGCATGGCTTTGTGTGAGGAAAATTATGCTTCAGAAGCTTGACTGAGTTTTTTGAGGAAGTAACAAAGATGATTGAGGGCAGAGAGGTAGACATTCATAGAATCCCTACAGTGTAGAAACAGGCCATTCGGCCCAACAAGTCCACACTGCCCCCTCCAAAGAGCATCCTACCCCGACTCATTCTCCTTACCCCTGCATTTCCCCATGTCTAACCCACATAATCTAGGCATCCCTGGACACTACGGACAATTTAGCATGGCCAACCCACCTACCCTGCACATCTTTGGACTGTGGGAGGAAACCGGAGCACTTGGAGGAAACCCACGCAGACACTGGGAGAATGTGCAAACTCCACACAGACAGTTGCTCAAGGATGGAATTGAACCTGGGTCCCTGGCGCTATGAGGCAGCAGTGCTAACCACTGAGCCAGCATGCTGCCCAACACTGTTTACTTAGACTTTAGTAAAGGTTTTGACAAGGTTCCACAACATAGATTGACTAGCAAAATTAGATTAAATGGGATTTAGAATGAGTTTGCCAATTGGACACAAAATGGGATTAACAGCTGGACACAAAGATGGTGGAGGGTTGTTTTTCGGACTGCAGGTCTGTGACCAGCCTGTTCCACAGGGATCAATACTGGATCCACTTTTGTTTGTCACTTATATAAATGATTTGGATGAGAATATAGAAGGCATGGTTAGTAAATTGGTGGATGACACCAAGATTGGTGGTACAGTGGACAGTGAAGAAGGTTATCAAAGATCACAAAGAGATCTTGATCAAGTGGGTCAATGGGCTGAAGATTGAACATGTTCCCATAAGAGCTTAATTTGGATAAATGAGAGATATTGCATTTTGGTAAAACAAACAAGGGCAGGACTTATACAGTTAAAAATAGGGCCTTGGGTAGTGTTGTAAAAGAGAGGGACCTAGGGGTTCAGGTATGTAATTCTTTGACGTTTGCACCACATATACGTAGGGTGGTTAAGGAGGTATTCAGCATGCTTGCCTTCATTGCTCAGACCTTTCAGTATAAGATTTGTGACATTATGTTGAGGATTTACAAGATGTCAGTGAAGCCTCTTCTAGAGGACTGTGTCCAGTTTTGGTCACCTTGTTCTACGAAGGATATTGTTAAAACTGAGGGGATTCAGAAGAGACTTACCAGGATGTTGCCAGGAAAGGAGAGTTTGAGTTATAAGCAGAGGTTGGATAGGCTGGAACTTGTTCCACTGGAGCATAGGAAATTGACAGATGATCTTATAGAGATTTACAAAATAATGAGAGCTATAGATAAGGTGAATGGCAGGTGTCTTTTCCCTAGGGTGAGGGCTTTCAAGACTTCGGAGCATATTTTTAAGGTGAGAGAGCAGAAAGATTTACAAAAGGCAGGAGGGGCAATTTTTAAAAAAAATACACAGAATGGTTCATTTTCAGAATGAACTTCCAGAAGAAGTGGTGGCTGTGGGTACAGTTACAACATTTAAAAGATATTTAGTTAAGTATATGAAAAAGAAATGTCTGGTGGGATATGAGCCAAGTGCAGGCAGGTGGGACGAGTTTAGTTTGGGATTATGGTTGGCATGGATTGGTTGGACCAAAGAGTCTGTTTCCACGCTCTATGACTATATATGTGTTTTGTTTCAAAAAGACCTTTCAAGGCAGTGAATTGAAATTAACTTCAGTCAAACATTTTTTGTTGCTACTTCATGGGACTTTTGTCATTTCTTTTCCAGTATATATTTTGCATTTCCCCTCCCACCTGATCCCAGAGATTTTGATTACTTTCTGTTTAAACTCACTTCTGCTATTAGATTCAGTGTCCAAAATAGCAAAGAAAAGAAATTAGTGCTGCTCGTGGAATATTTTTTAAAATTCATTTGGTACATGAGCAATGCTATTAAGACAAGAATTTATTGTCCATTTCAATTGACCTAGAGAAAGCAGTCCTATGGTGTAGTTACTGTTGAGTCCAACTATTGACTGCCACTTCTTTAACTTAACGATTTTTTTTATTGCTCCCAAATTTAATAAAGATTTTGATCTGCAGAACAAGTGCCCTGTACACATGAACATTCACATTCCAGCCTGTTATCTTGCAGCAAGTATCTGTAATTGCTTTTGATCTGAGCCATTAATTCATTTCATTTCTTACAAATGCTATGTTTTGCTATCAGAGCCTTTATTTACTATTTTTTGAAATCTATAGCCTCGTAAGATCGTAAGTAGAAGGAACACGAGTTAGCCCTTCAGCCTCTTGAGCCTGTTATCTATGAGCACATCAAGTTTGCACATTCTGCCTCTTCTTGCCATATTCTGAATATCATTAACTTCTTCATTACATTGGTCTCTTGTTAAGCAATTTCCCTTTAACTTATCGACTCTCATTTGAACCCTTGCCCTTGCAACTTAATTTGAAGTGCTCTCTACTGCTTCAGGTGTAAGAATACTGGTTCCAGCAGTGTTCAGGTCAAGACCAACCCAACAGTACAGCTCATACCTTTAACAGTGCTGGTGCCAGTGCCCCATGAATCAAAACCTATTTTTCAAACACCAATCTCTGAGCCACGAGCAGCATTGAGCTTCATGAAAGTAGATGGGACTGCTTGCAGCCAGGCAAGCGAACAGTGTTCCACTCTTGTCTTGTATTTGATAATTAGGTTTGACGGAGTGACAATGAAAGTTACTCACAACAAAACTCTAGCACGACAATGGAGAAAAGGTCATTGAACAAGCTAGGGAAAACGGGTGGACCTGCTCTGAGGAAATCCTGCAACAATGTTTTGGGATTTAGATGATCCGATTCTAATCCTAACCAGAAGCCACCTTGCTTTGTCCTAGCTATGGCACCAGCCATCACAGTAGCTTCCCCTGCAACTCTGACGGAATTGAATTTTGCTCAGACTCTTTGATGTCACACTCCCTCAAACATTACCTTTGTGTCAAGGGCAAATCACTCTCACCTCACCTTATTCCAGCAATTACTGGCAAATATATCTCGTATATGAAAATAAACATTTGCAATAGTTTGCTGCTGAACAAAAAAAGGCAGGAAGACAAGCAACATCAATTTGGTGACGATGGGGTTGGTTAGGAAGAGAATATAACATTGATGACTGACATGAGGACGTGTTCATATGCTATGGAGGGGTAAAAACTAAACGCCCATGGCAAATCATAAGATTTTCCTATAATTATGAATTCATATAGGAAGCTAACTCCACAGCACAGGAAAGTTTTCATACCTGTCTAATTCAGTTTCCTTTACAATGGCTTTCTGGTTTGCAGTTACGATATCTTCTTCAAGTTGAGCAATTTTTGCGACTGCTTCCTTAAATCTTTTCTCAATGTCTTCTTTCTCAAGTTTTAAGGCTTCTGAACTCTGGAAGAGATCCTAGTTATAAATGTGAACAAAAACCAATGAAGAAGGGAATTGAGCAAGACAACAAATTAGAATTGTTTTTAATGAATCTGTTTGGACATTCTGACACACTTCTATGGCACATAGGGCTTGAACCTTGACATCTTGGCCCAGAGGTAGGGACACTACCACTTCACCACAGGCGCCAAATTTGAACTTGTATTCACAGCAAATACTTAGACTTAATTGAGCTTAACTGTTGCAATCTTTGTGCAAATCTTGCAACTTATGCAAAAATTGGGACAGCTATCTCACTAGTCAAGCAACAACCCGACTCAAGTCATACCCATTTCAGCCAATGTCACAGGCTCTTTCATCACTCACTAGTCAAAGAGGAGGAAGTTGATGATCTATGGTTTTGATTCTAACTTAGGGGTGTGCAGTAAACTAGTAAACAAAAGAACCTTTGATTACCATGTAACCAAGATCTTTGTTCTTTAAAACCTTCCTTAAGGCAGTTACTTTCAAGATCTACAGGATGCAGCATTAACAGAAACAAAGTTTGTGATGAGACTGAAGAGAGAGATAAGGAGGCCAACAGGGGCCGAGCAACACCTGCATCTGGGCACGCACAAACCATCAATATGATGGACTGGTTCGGGAAAGTACGTAAAAAAACGTAATTAAGCAAATTCTGTTCAAAGTTCCTGATCCTGGGATATATCCAGGGTTCTTGGAACAACTTATAGCCATTTTATCATAAACCTGTTCAGAAAAGTTGTTATACACTTCTGGAGTAGGTGAGACCTGAACCCAGATGTCCTGGTTCATTCATAGGGAAAATTACCACCTCATCACAAGAGCCCTTAATGGGTCAACTTCCATTTCTTTTCTATCTAGCAAAGCTCTGACAGACACAATGTCTTTTTTTTTTCCCCCCAATCACTAAATTGCCCTTGGTATTGAGAACTCAGCTTTTCTTTAGTATTTTTTGAATCAACTAGTTCAGACATGTTATCACCTCTGGAGCAGGTGGGACTTGAACCTGGACCTCATGACTCAGAGGTAGGTGCAGTGATAATGTTCCACAAGATCACCAATATTAAAAACTGTTCATTTATAAGTATGCGCATTTGCAGGGGCCATCCGTATACATCTATGGAACAACTGGGACTTGACACCAGGCCTCCTGACTCAGGGGTAAAAGCACTACCATTGTGCCACACAACCCCTCTGGGACAACTTTCAAGCTAGAAGATTCAACACCAAACACGTGGCAAGTATGAAATCAACAACCTTTCCTTTAAAACAATTCTTTCCATGTATAGTGCTAACTTCTCCTCTCTTCCTTCCACTAATCTTTATCCTTCTTCCTACCAACAGATAGAATTCTGCAGATTTAAGAATTATGGAAATAAATACAACTTCAGATCTCCAACAAGTGTCATTGCCAAAATACGGCACTGCTCTTATGCTTGGAACCAGATCTTTACTTTTAACATACTAAGATCACAGGTAATATTGCCTAATTTGAAGTACATTGAAATTGCAATCGAAAATCAAACACAGATTGAACTTTTGGCAAAGCAATTATTACCAGAAAAGGTCCAATTTGGATAATTATCCAAAAAAAAATAAAAAGCCATAATATGCTCATATCACATTAATATCACCAAATATAAAGGAGCTATGAAGGCATATTTAAGATTTTGTTCATGAAAATTCACTTTGCACAACACAATACCTTCTATTTCTGCTATAAAAGATATCTTAACTATTAGGTCTGTACTGTAAGAGATGCTCAAATGTTCAAATATCAAACAGCAGTCGAAAATTACTCTGCCGGATTTCTAAACAATTTTTGTTGCAATTTTTAAATTGAATGGCTTGTAAAATGAATAGTTGTTTTTCAAGTCTGTTGTGAAGTTGTGAAGAGTACTGGTGGATTGGAAGGCAGGGCATCAGAATTTGTTTGTAAAATGATAGGGAGGGGAACAGTGCACGGTCCCTTTAAACGATTATGTTTTTTTTGGCTTGGAAATTAAAGAAAACAAAAGGGCAGGTGCACAGAGACCTCCTGAAATTGAAACATTGTATCAAAAGGCTGTGTGGTCAACAACTCAGGCAATAGTTTGTTTTGTTCTTAAGGCAAACAGTTTGAAAATCAGCCAATTAATTTAAACCAGGCACTTAGAAACCAAAACAAAAACAATTAAATTTAAATCTAGTGGTTTTAACAACCCAGGGCCAAACCTATTGTAAGAAATTAATAGATCATCAAGGGTATAACAGAAGGGGGCATTTGAAAATCGGTGTGAAAGTGAACTACCTTCTGAAGAGAAACTCCCTGGCTCTCACAGAAATCTCAACGCTCTCAGAGTAAGCGCCATCTAACTAAAAGGTACTACGGAACTCTTAGCTAATACTTCTGATACAAGAATTCCACGGAGGATGGCATTCCTGACTGGACGACAGCAGAGAAGGCAAAGGACATTCTGGAAAACTTAACCTGGTTGTAATTGAGAGATTAAGTCTTAATTTTTTTTGGATTTATATAGATGGGACTTAATTCTACTGGAACAGCATGCCATTAGAATTCTGTTTCATTCAGAAATAATTAGTAGTTAAGGGGCATATTGTTCGGTTTGTTAGTAGTTCTGTTAATTTGTTAACTGTTAGGGTTAGGTAAATAAATTAGTCACTCTACAATCAACAAGTGACTATCAGGAGTTCATTTTATTTCCTCTCTCCATTATAACAGATTGGGAGGTGAGAAGCAGGTTATACCGATTTTCACCTTTCCTTTAACAGATTATGAGGTGAGGCGACCTTCTCTGGGTGTTTTAATTTTAGTTTTAGTTATCAGACGGGGGTCAACCTCTACTTTATAACAAGTCATAAAGACTAAAAATACATATCTACAAAATAAATGTATTGCTTCAATTTTAAAAAGTCCAATTTAGTATTAAAGGCAGGCAACCAGTTAGCAACTTGCATTACTCACAAAGCCATTACGTTAGTCATATGGTTCTGGGGCTAAAAATTAAAAAGTCTTACAGAAAACCTTGCAAATCAAATGGAAAATATCTGTCAATAACTTAAGAATGTTAAGTCTTAGTTGGCCCAAGTACTATCTATTCCAAATATACATTTGATTTAAAAAAAAGGAAGCAAAAAGAAAAAAAGACTGACATGATGCAACAATTTTTTAATATTTTTGTTATGTCCAGAAGTGTTTTATAGTTAATCAAGTACTTTGCTGAAATTCAGCGCCATTGTAAATGCAGGAAGTGAATGAGTCACTTTGCGTACTACAAGGTCCAACAAATCATAATGAGATAATGACCAGATAAACACTGCCCCGGTTAAGATTTGTTAATTACAGAAGCACTTAATTTTTTTGCCTGACTAAGGTATAGTAGGTATAGGCGAGTACCTTGACACAGCAGGGCAACTTTGCTTAGTGCAAAGGAGATATTGACATTCAAGACCGGTCCGTCAATCTAGTTCTAACTGGCCTAGAAACACAGTGGAATCTGCAATTTACTCCACACTAAGTATATGGATGACTTTCTGGAAGTGGTCAAACCCATGTCGCCTTCTAGACGAATATAAAGGACTCACACAACAGCTTAGCCCTTCTCTATAAGGGACTTCACCAAACTTGGAGCAAATTATTTCTGATGCAGAAATCTGTACTGGAAAAAAATGCTGGAAATCACAGCTTAAAAAAAAGGTGTTGTAGTCATTGGAAACAGTATTTTTGAGTGTTCACAAAAATTACTGTATTTTTCCTATACAAAACAGAAAATTAAGCTCAGAAATCTTCCTTCATCTTCTAAGGGCAAGAAACAAATTATCAGAACTCTAAAATCCTTTGAAACGCTTACCTTGTAATCCTTTTTAATTTGGTCACAGACTTCTTTTTCATGATGGATTTCTTTTTCAATCTTTTCCATTCGCTCACCTAATTGGAGTACTTCCTCTTCAAGTTCAGATTTAGTTTTCAACATCTCCTCCTTTTCTTTCAGTAGCAGTTCAATCTTTTGCTGAATATGTAAATTAGAGATCCAATTTATCACATCGAATTCACAAGCTAATTTCAATGTTCAAAAAGGCAAGTTAAAACAAAAATTCAAACTTTACAACACAGACTAAAAATGAAATGACCACAGCTTTAACATTCCTTCGTTAACTGGAAGAACTATTTATTAACTATTTTGCCACTGCATTTTTATCTCTATATGTACTTCCCAGAATGATAATTATATGATGCATGCAGATTCAATTAACCTCCAAACCTGCTGTCAACTATGACTGTAATTATTTCTGGCTTCCATCCAACTGAGCAGATTCTATAACTGGCCCAAAACGAAGCATTGCTTGGTCAGTTACAAGTTTAAAAACTGACATAACTTCCACCTGATTTGTGTGTTTTAGTTACAAAGATCATGGCAGAAAATTAAGTTGGAAAGAGATGTGCAGGGAGAATCTATCCAGAGTTATTGTACCAAAATAGTTTTGCCAAACGTGTGTTCTGAATGATTGTCATGATGTCCTCTGTGGTAAACTCTGTCGACCAAAAGTAAATTGTGCCAGTATGGCATACAGAATTTATTTCAGAGCCTTGGCCACATTGCTTCTAAGTATAATTGACAAGTGAAATAATGAGCACAGACTTAAAAGGTTTCTGTGCAATGAAACAGGAGAAAAACCTCCAGATGCACCCTATGGCTAATGTTATGTCTGCTCAAAACCTTACTGTGGTCTTGTGGATAATCTTTTATGCATAATACCAAAGCAGGTTTTGCAGCAGTGAAGATTTGATTTTTCTGTGATACCTTCTAAAACTGTATACCTTTGACAGGTTTAAGGGAGAAATACCTTACTTATACAGGTATTATAGGGCCATCAGAAAAGTTAAAACTATGGAGGTTAATTAATTCACAGTTATATTTATCATACCCATGACACAATATTTTGGGATAGTTGGAAAACTGACAAAACTGAACGTGAGCCATGTACTTGGAATAATAAAACTCAGGTTTTGTTTAGCCTGCAAAGCCTTGCAGTGAATATAACAGTTGCTTGAGACCCTTTACTGAATCGGCAGCAGGTTTCATACTTCTGAAAGCCATATATCCAAAAACACCATGCAGCAATTATGGAATGTCACTGGAGAGGACATTAAATGGACATTTTTAAACTAAATTGCGTTAATAGGTAGCCAAAGTAGAGTCAATGAGTTGGATGGATGGTTCTGTTTCAGTACTGTATTACTCCATGTCTCTATAACCATATTAACTTGCTTAAAATTAGATTTAGTGGGCTAGAGCTGAATTGCTACAAGCATCTGATGAAGGAAATATTACCTTATAAAACTCAAAATGCAGGTAAGCAAATGGTTAGACATCAGAACAAGGCTGCAAAATGCTATTTTACCAAAATGATGTTGAGATTCAAACTATGTAAATATTACTGGCAATTTTCATAACATAACAGCAGAAGAAAGAGGCATGGGAGTATCGAGCCAGCTCCTCCATTTAACATACTCATGGCTGATCTTCAAATTCAAATTCACTTGCCTGCACACTTCTCATTTCATTAATTCATCAAAAGATCAAAAATCTGCCAATGTAAACCTTAAGTATTTTCAATGATCCAGCATCCACAACCCACTGAGGCTAAGAATTCTAAAGACTTACAAACTTCTGATTGAAGAAATTTCTCATCTGTTCTGAATGATCAACCACGTAATTGTGATGAGCCCCATGCTGTAATTCCGTAAACCAGGAAAACAACTTTTCAGTTTTTACCTGGTTAAGATCCTTCTCAGGTTAATCTGATCAATTCTCACTTTGCAAAACTCCAGAGAATATAGACCTACTGAAGGTGTTATTCCCTTATTGGTCATTGTTATGCAAGTACTGGCTTCTCACATATCTTTGTTCCAGAATAATAACTGTGCAGCAGTCTACACAGTTAGCCTTGTCAAGATATTCAAATGCAACAAGTTCCAAGTTTGATTGGCCTTCCTCCAATAACTATCAGGGATGACCTGACAGCCATCAAAAGATGAGACAAAGTGATACTGTTACTGGACTAACAATTCAAAGACCCAGGCTGAGATTCTGGAATTAATAGCACATCTAGTGATAACCATTAAACTGTTATTGTCTTAAAAACCCATCTAATTCAGTAAATTTACCACCCTTACGTGATCTCACCCGAAACAACGTAGTTGACTCTTTAAGGCCCTCTGAAAATGGCTGAGCAAACAACTCAGTTGCACCTGTCACAATGTCTGATTAGAGGAACAAAACCAGACAAACCACCCAGCAATGACCAGGAACATTCACTAAAAACAATGGCACACTACATGCTGTCAACACAACAAAATCTTCCTCACTAACAACCAGGAGAGCTGTACTGCAAACTAATCAAGCAAAATCCTGACACAGCCTCTCTTACAGGATAGTATCTTATAGAACATTTCCCAGACATCACCATCACGATCCCTGGTACGTCCTGTCCCACTGGCTGGATAAACTACTGAGAGGTGGGAGCACAGTGCTATACATTTGGGAATGAGCTGTCTTGAGAGTTCTCAATATTAATTCCAGTTCCCATGATGATACATGGTAAAAGGTCAAACACAGATGAGGAAACCTCCTGCTGATTACCACCTAGTACCTACACTTGATTGATCAATACTCCTCCACATGGAACAGCACTTGGAAGATGCAAGGATACAGAATGTAGTCCAAGTGAGAGACTGTAAAGTCCATCATCAAGAATGACTCAGCAACAACCATGACTGACCAACTGGTTGAGCTCTAGAGATCGTGATTCCCGGACTGGATTTGTGGCAGGTGTTGAGAGGACCAGTAAAAAATGGAAAAAGCATACTTTAATTTATCTTTCCCAACCTCCTTTATGCAGGTACAATTAATCCCAATATCATATCAGTAGGATACACCACCACACAATTCTTGTGGAAACCAAGTCTTCCTTTCACACTGAGGAAACTCTCCTCTGTCTTGTCTGGCACAAACAACATGCTGAATGGGATGGATTTTGAGCAGATCCAGTACAACTTAAAAACAGGCACTAATGAGGTACGATGAACCAAATGCAGCAGCAGAATTGTACTCAATTACAATTTGTAACCTCATGACAGTCTCCTACTCCACCAATACCATCAAACCAGGGGCCAAGCCTAGTAACACGTTATTAAGAATCAAGGAACTCCACAAATAAGTGATCAGATCTCAGGTCTGCAGGCCTGTGAATGGTCTTGAATGCTGTGGACAACGAAACAAATAACTGGAAGAGGATATACTCAGCCTCAATGACAGAAATCCATCATGTCAGTGCAAAAGTCAACATTGGAGCGTTTGCAAGAATCTTCAGCAACAAGCACTGGGTTGATGATCGATTTCAGCTTTGTACTGAGATTACACAGTGCCTCAGGTGCCAGCCTGCAGCCAATTCAATCCATATGACATCAAGAAATGACTGAAGGCACTAGGTATTGTAATAGTACGGTCCCGATATGGGTCTATTCCGGCAAAAGAACTGAAGACATGCTCCAGAACTCGTCATGCCCCTCAACAAGCTGATCCAGTTAGCGTCGATACTTGGATCCATCCGGCAATGTGGGCAATTTCCCAGCTATGGCCCATACACAAAAAGCAAGAGTAATCCAAACTGGCCAATTACTGCCCTATCAGTTATTCCCGATCTAGCTTGTGATGGATTGAGTTGTCAACAGGGCTATCTGGCAGGTACTCAGCAAAACGTTGCACAGTAACGCTTGATAACCAGGCCTACCGAGCTCCTGATCTCATACAGACTTGGTCTAAAAGAGGGGAGATGCGATTGACTGCCCTTGACATCAATGTTGCATTTGACTACACCTAGCACCAAAGGAATACGGTTATGTTTTTCACAAGTCAATTATCTCAGCTCCAGGACATCATAGCAAGAGTTCCTCAGGGTGTTGTCTTGGGCATAACCATTTTCATCTACTTCCATGACATTCTATCCATCTAACTTCATAAGGTCAGAGGTAGGGATGTTCACTAATGATTGCGCAATGTTCAACACCATTTGTGAATCACCAGATATTTAAGCAGTCTCTGTTCAAATTCAGCAAGACCTGGACAACACCAAGGCTTGGAATAAAAAGTGGAATCTAAAAGTCACATCATACAAGTGGCAAGCAAGACCATCTCCAACAAGAGAAAACCCAACCATCAGCTTCTGGCATTCAATGCCATTCCATTTGCTGAATCCACCACTGTCAGCATCATGGGGATAATCAATGACCTAAAACTGAACTGAAAGAGTCATATAAATACTGTAACTGCAAGTGCAGGTCAAAACAGCTGGAAAATCTGCTGAGAGTAATTCACTTAATGACTCCTCAAAGGTTGTACACCATGTATAAGACATGGGATAGAAGGGTCTCCACTTGATTGAATGACTGCAGCTCTAACAACATTCGAGAATTTTTGAAAATATCCAAGACAAAGCAATTCATTTGATTGCCACCCCATCTAGCAGCTTCAACATGCATTCCCTCCACCATCTGCACATGATGGCAGCAGTGCATCATCAACAAGAAGTACTGTAACAACTCACCAAGGCTCTTGAGACAGCACCTTCCAAATTGACAACCACTACCACCAAGACTGGCAGCAGCAGCAGTCCCATGGGACCACCACAACCCAAATGTGCTGCTCCAAGCCACACACCATCCTGAGTTGGAATTATATCACCGTAGCTGGGTCACAGTCCTGGAAGTCTCTCCTTAACAGCACCGTAAATATATCTTTGTCACATGGACTGCAGTTTCAAGTGAAATTAGGAATGGGCAATAAATGCTGGCCTAAATTGATGCCACGGGGGTCAATCCGACTTTAAAAAAAAAGATTTTTCTCTCCTGCACACAGCACTGGCTCCCAATCTTTTCAGTATCAAAGCACACTTCAATGAGACAAACAATTCCATACAGCACACTTTTCTCAGCTGAATTGAGTGCTCATAAACGTAACATTTACTGCGCCACAGTAGGAATGGAGACACAGAATGATCAGTGAGTCCCTGCTGCAGCTTCCTCACTCCATTCAGCCATTGCTCAGAATGCGCAACCATCCTGTAGAGGGCACCATGTGGCCCAGTCACCAAAAGTCCGACTGCAGGGCGGGTTGGGTAACAGTTGCCCCCATCATGCAGGACTCAGGTGAGGTGTTGTGCTGAACCCCTCAACCAGACTCAGTTCCAACAAAGGGCTGGCGCTGTGCTCTGCAGCTCCTGCACTCACAGTGCTTTTGGCTCTGGCAGCGGTGCACGATCTAACTAGCTCAGCCCAGTACAGGGCCAAAAGCCAAAGGTGACAGACTTACGAGTCCTGCACAGTGAGTGACATCACTGTGCATCAATCAGACACTGTGTGTTGTGCATTCCCCCATATAGTGAGTGACAACACTGTTCACTAGACACTAGCAGCTGTTCCTACCTTCACAGCAGACTTCTCACCTTATTGTGGCACACTGGCTGAAAACCACTGCTCTACATCACATCTAAAGCTGCTGCTGTTGAACTCACAAAAAGCATTTAGGAAAAAAAACCACCTGAGCCATTGATGGCTCAGTTTACAGTAATAACAACAGGATTAGCTGAAAGTTTGAGGGGTGGTGCAATAAGCTTCCTCACTCACCGTTACACCAGGAAAAAGACACTCAGCAGCTGTATTATCATCTACGGAAAGACAAACAGAGCTAATGCTTCAAGTGAATGACCTTTCATTAGAACCTATTACTTTCTATAATTTTGTTAAAGAGGTACAAGTATCCATTCTTCCTGTGAGCTTCAGATACAACAATGTTTCGGATTAATCAGATCTACCTCAGAAAGCTGTGAGCATTCGTTTGTAGAACATATTGAAGACCAAGGTTGATACTAAAGGACATGGGAATAGTGCAAAAAGGTGGAGCTGAGATCAGCTATGTTGTTGGTCAACTCCAGTTCATTTCTTATGTCTTTTGTCAGCAATTCATACATATTCCAGCAAGGGTAGATGCTCTAGAGCAGGAATCCTAAATCCAGAAATGTTGAAATCAACTGTAATAATCTAGCTGCCTCCTAAGGGACAGCATTAGATAGTAAAATAATAAAACGTTGTGAAGTACCTCAGCAATTTTGGCAGTATCTATCAGGAGAGAAAAACACTGAGCCAGAAACTTCTTCAGAACACCAAAATTGCCTTATCCAATGGGCTACTGAAGGCACTCAATTTAACAAATGAGCAGCCCCTGACTAATGAGTAGGTATGCTTTATAATTGTAGTGTAAAAGTATGAAGTACTGAATTGAAATAAAGCCGCCATTTGAAAGCTACAAATGCTTACGGGTTTACTACGTAATCAATCAAGGCAAAGTTAACACAATTGAGTTCAAAATGTTCAATTATATTAGAAGGGTATGATTACAGAATTGGTGAAGAAGTCTTTTTAATTTGTTCCACTTGATTAGAAAGAACAATTCCAATACTAAAAGAGTTGAAAGATTTGAACTTGGAACAGAATTGCACTATGGACATTTTTTAAATGTTACAATTGTTACAACTTATTTGTATACAATAAAATCTCTGTTTGACAACAAGACCTAGATTTATTCTGTATACTAGGTTACTACAACATCTACTTTGAACATTTGAATTAGACTAACATTCAAGGAATCCTACCTCAAGAAAACTTGTTTTTGTTGTTACCACCAGCATGTCAGAGTTTGTGTCATCTTCCATGGTCAGCAAATCATCTGTGGGAGACGGCACACGGAACTGAAAAGGTGTGCTTGCTCCTCGGATTTCTCCCTTGTTAGTTACATAGCAAAACTGATAAAATTCTCCATCATCATTTGGAAGATAATAACCTGTTACAAGATACATATTTTTAATATAAATATTTCTTAACTTACGTTCCAATTCACTTAATTTTATAAAGTCTTCATCCTAGGTGTTAACTTAGCAGTTTCAAATCAAAGAAAATCATTGCAGATGTTCAGAAAACAATTCAACTAATCAGTACCATGCATGTTATTTAAACTTACACAAAACCAACCACTAATGACAAAGATATATCCAACAATGCACTGGCAACATACACGACTGAAATTCATCTTGATAGTTGCTCCCTGATTTCTGCAATTCTAGAATCTTCCAGCCACAGTAAAAATTCATGCAAGACAATCAGCTACATAAAAGCAGCAGCAGTGGATTCTTCCAAATGTGTTCAAGTTTGCTTACCTTGGAAAACTATGACACGATTAAATGAAACTCCTTCTGCATAATTTTCTGGTACTTGAGACCACAGGAATGTGTAATAATCACGAGCAGTGCTCCAACCAACCTAAACAGGAGAAAATACATGAACCTTTCTCAATACCTTATCTCAATATTTTAACTTCAGGTACATTTTGCCACTGTAAATGTTGATTCCGAAGAATACCTTAGTGACATACTTCTGAAATCAGACATATTAAAAAAATTTTCGATAAATCCAATGTAAAAATGATTCAACATAACAAGCAACAGTAACAATCAATAAATGTTCACATTAAGGCAAAGTCAATATTATATGCTATGGCACGAGCTGCAGTCCTATCACAGATAAGCTAGGTCTCCACCAGTCCACCCAGTGCTGCAACATCTGGATTCACTGCCAGTACAAGGAGTGGTGAGGTTAACAATATACTTGCATTTTATGAGAGGCCAGAAAAACCATGGGGAAGAAGGGATTAGAGGGTTACATGGATAAAGAAACATGAGGATGAGTGCAAGGAGATTCAAGTATGGCATAAATATAGGAACAGGGTATTCAGGTTACCAGTCCATATGATGGATATTTCAAAAATTCATTCTCAGAGTCTAAAAGAACTTGCTGGCCTCAATTTTTGTTTTAAAAAATTGGTTACAACCTATTCTTCCAGGCATAAGGTTGTCAGTTCTCCTGATGTATTCTCTGGGAGTTGTTTACTGCCAATGCACCTTCTCAGTCACTAGCTTTTAATAGCTGAAAATTCCAAATTTCTGCTTTTTGTTCCCTCTTAACTCCTTTTGATACTAAGGAGCAGTCTCATTGCTCTACTCTGTACAAACCCCAAATCTTCAATCCACACCAGGACTTCAATGACCAGAAACAAGTACAGCACAACTTGAGCACCATCTCACTGCAAAGGTACTTCTGGCTAATTGGTGGTGGTAAACTGCCTTTGCAACAGATATAAAAGATAGCTAATTTGGCTGAAAGAGATTTTAACTATTTCAACATTGCTAATAGAATATTTACATTGCACATTTTTGTTCTGATTTTACACCTGACCATGTAGAATTTATACCCTCTTTTAACATCAATAAAAAGCAAAAATCACATTTGGGATCTGAACCACAAAATTGTATTGGGAGTTGAGAAAAGGGTTAAACAGGAACAATGGATCGTTTTCCTCCTTTGTGCGCTGAAATTAATTCTCCAATGTTCTATTTAAAATCACAGATATCTACATGTTCATGTCACAAACATAATTAGGGGATCTTATCATCTCCTTCTATATATTTTCTTATCAACCTGTTCAGAGATGTTACTGCACACCCCTGGAGCAGTTGGAACTTGAACCTAGTCCTCCCAATGTGCCACAAGAGTCTCCTCATCCCTTTGCAGGGTCAACAAAATTTTCCAAATCGTGACGCACAGCCTGTGCGCCTTACTGGAAATGCAAATGCAGCTGATTATTAAAGAGTAATAGATTGTGAATACACAAATTGAGATCACGAGTCCAATGTGTAAGCAACTTTATCCTGTTAACATGTTTACTAATTAAAATGGAAATATACAGCCAAGTGTACAAGCGTTTTTTGACATTGAGTTTTAACTTCTTCAGTTAATGAATCACAGCAGACATCTACTGAGCAAAAATATATATTAAAGTACCTGTATTATGATTATGCATGCAAGGTATTCTCTATTTAGATTACTGCAGGTGAATAAAACTGTTTCAGGAGGCTAAAAAGCAATTTACGTTTCACATCACTGATCCACAGTGGCGCTATCACTAGTTAGGAACATACCATCAATTCTCAATGAACATTTAACTTACTCAAGAAAGCTTCAAAAAGATCACAAATTTCCATCTCAAAAGGCATCCAAACAATTCCCAAGAAGAAAAGTAAAATTTAAAACCTATCTCCAAATTAAAGTAAAAGCTAACACTACCTTAGCATTCAAAACTAAACAAAAACAGGTAATATCTTTCTGGTCCAGGGATTAGTTATTTCATTGTTGCTTAACTTTTAAGATCATCTACTGAATGTTATAACTGCATACACTGCAGGGGTTATTTGTCCAATGAATATTATTTAGTGCACAGGATTACTATAATGGAGTTCTTTACCTCAGAACAGTCAGCAGAATTAACAAGCTGTCATTACGTGGTTTCTCAAACAAAAGTAGAAGAAAATGGAGTAAAAATAGGAGAATCGAGTAACCCTGCTTTTATGTATTTTTGCATATAAACAGAATAGACAGATCAGACAGCAGATCCATCTGTCCACTCTTTGAACAACAACGATTTTGTGGCACCATGCAAAAGCTGAATAGATCAATAACGTGAAAGGGAGAGAATAACTTTGTGCTTCAGTTCTTATTTTGCAAAGACGGGATGCAAAGATGCATTTTCTTATCATTGTCCAATCTTTTGGCACTCTACATAGACCTCAGTTAAAGTCTCCTCTTTTGCTCACCCTAACCTTGCACTGCTGCTCAGCAAATTACTCATAATTATACAAGGACGTTTTTACTCCACAACATAATGCAACTAAGGCCAAATATTTCAGTACAAAGTCAATTCAAAACCATTACTAACATATCATTCACTTTTGTTACTTCTTACACCTAAGCAGTTTCTTCACTTCAACAGTCCACTCTAATGATCACATTAAAATTAGCTATTATAACAAAAAGGACATAGTATTACAACTTTCAAAGGTCTAGCTGAGTATTTACTAGTTATACTGTATTCTTACATCAGTTCTTTTGATCTTCCATGTAACAGTTTTTACTATTATAGTCACTGATGATCCACAAGAGAAACTTGGTCTTTAACAAGGGTTAATGCCAAATTGAATAAACCTTGAACCAACAATGATAGCAATACCCATTAAATGAAATGCATTTAAGAAGCCTTCCAATTAATTGCTCCCTTGTTGCACCAGCTAATATATGAAACATATATTTATATGCAATATTCTTAGAGGTTTTAGCCAAAGTCTCAAATAAAGGCATTTCCCCTGCATCTTTGAAATGGGACAAATTAGAATCTGTTTAAATTTATTGTTCTGGTCTGTGAGCAATGAAACAGTATATTTGCTACAGCACATTTTTGAAAAATATATATAGGTCAATAACAAATAAATTATTAATGATCATTGCTCATCATACGAACATTACAATACACTTTAAAAACATAAACTTGTGACAATAAATAACTTGCTTATTTTGAACTTTGTCATTGCCCATTCAACTTGAGGAAAAAATGATTGCAAAAATTGCGACTAAAGATTGATTTATATAACAGCTCAGATCTCAGACAGTAATTTCGTTGTGCAGGTGACAGAGTAGGTTATAAAGTAATAGCTGCCAGGTGATGGGCACTTTCCTTTATAGGGTAATTTAAAATCTATTTGAATTACACTGAAATCCACAGCTGCATCCAGTTTGGCACATTAACAATGTACATATATACTTGAATTGAGAAGTGTGAGGTGATGACAACTTGTTAATCCAGCATCTTTGAGAATTATAAAAATAAAACTTCTATTAAAGGACAGATGTCACGTTAACATTGTTGGACCTTATCAGTACTGAGACAAGCTTGTCAAAATGATAGCTTGTTAAAACTCTCCCAGGAACTAAACCCAAAATTGCAGATGGAATTTTAACTGCTGCACTACCCAATGCTCCACTCACTTCCTTGTTAAAATGATTATGCAGAAAAATAGCAGAAGGAATTGCTTCTAATTTATTTAAGTCACACACTTTCAATTTATTTCTCACTGTAAATACATATGTAGGAGGAAGAAGTAGTGACCACTGTAACTGAAATCAAATAAGTTGCAAAAACAAGCTTGTCAGCTTCTCTAAGTAGTTACATTTTGATTATGTGCACTTCAGAAATTAAAACTGTTAATGTACACAATTCGTGCACATACCTGTCTCCATAGTACACACTCTTCTAAACTTGTACGTAAAAAATTCTCAATGCATTTAAATGTCCAAAAAGTTACCTTTGGAGCTTATTTTCCCATTTTTAAGATTTTCTTTCACAGAATTGTTGGATAAATGGATATCGTACGATTTATTCAAACGGCCATTTATTTCAATATTCTTGAAATTAATACTTAAAATACTTTACTGAATATTGTCCAAAACTTGTTTTTAATTCTCGGACTTTGTATTTTTCAGTACTCAGACTTAATTTCTATTTTTATTACAATAAGGCAAATTGCAACTTTTGGAAACTCAGGACTTCCAATACACTTACACGCACTTCCAGTATATGCTGCATAAAATGCAGCCAATAAGGTTGACCACAGCAAATTATAATTTCACTTGCATACTACAAAACAAATATCCAAGCAGTCTGATAAGTGTATATTGCAAAATGTGTCTGATTGCTGCTCCCACAGGATCTAGTTTTCAAAATGTGAGCACTTGCTCTCCAAGAAAAAGAAAACAAATGCATCTGATGTTAAAAACTAGGGTGGTACTTGAATAATACATAACATATTTCACAGGTATTTAAAAGTTTTATGTGGCATTTTTCATGGGGAGCCACAATGCGCAATATAGTTTAGGTATTTTATAATCAACCTCTGGAGCAGTTAGGACTTGAATCCAGGCCTCCAGTCTTAGAAGTAGGAACATTACCAGTGTCACAAGAGCCCAAAAACAATGTGTTTATGCTTACTGTGAGCCTGCAGTTGAATAAATCAAAGAAACATTTTCAACAGTGTGGGCACAAAGGTTCCACCTGCGAGGAAGGTCAAAAATTAAACATCAATATATGATAGTTGCCAAGAAATCAGGATGAATCTTCTTTAACCTAAGGTTTGAGAATGTGAAACTTGCTTACATAACGAATAATTGAGGCAAATAGTACAGATGCATCTCAGGCAGCTGTTTCCAAAGTATGAGCGAAGATCCAAAAGGGTCAGAGAGACAACATTTGGGATCATGCTCAAGCTTTCCACCCCCATAACCTTGAATACCAGCTGGTGCCTGACCCCAGATCTATCCTGCTCATCTCCAGGTCTTGTTCTTCTTTCTCTCAATCACGTCAAAATGTACCTGGCATGGTTCTA